GGTCGATGCCCATTGCGCGCATCATGAAACCGCCGTCACACTCGATCGCTTGCCAATCGCTCGACCGAGAGCGATTGGCAAGCGACGGACAAGCGATGGAGCGATCGCGATCGCTCCATCGCTTGGTCCGTCGCCGACTATGACGTCGGTCTAAGCTGAATGTGAGCGCGACGTCGCGCGGTGACCCTTCAATATTTCCCCTTCTCCACGTGAATGAGCCAAAGGACGAATAGAGAAAACACTCGAAAACAAGGTAAAATGTCGCTTTCTCAACAATTCATCTTGAAAAGATTTTTTCTTCAGCAGTAAACTGTTTACCGTGTACCATACAGTTGTTATACATATGCTTGTATGATATGTTGTTGTTTACGATAAAGTTTCCTTTCCTTGACTGTGTAAGATTTTCAATCTCCAGGCTTTTTCCCTAGACAGTGTCTTGTCTGAAGCTTTCTTCATACAGTTGTCACAAGGAGAGCACTCATGCATCAGATCATGGTAGGTCGAATTGTTTGCAGACATTCCCGTTGGGATTACCAAAGTCAATAACACTCACTTCTCGTAGAATTCGAATCGCTGCAGTGTAATACGGTTTGTGATGAAGTGATTTGAAAGCAATAACGCACATGCACACCCATATGCTACCGTGAAGGGTTGGTTGCAGTTGGGCAGTCAAGGAGGTTGTGATGTCTACACCACTCACCATTTTATTAGGTCGTTTAGAAAGTTCTTGCGTCTTTCCGACCCTAAACTTTAAATGCATGTATCTCGGCTCATACGGAACTTTTTTAGTGAAATAAAAACTGTCAAAACCCTTAAGCCTCTGGCAATAGAAAACGGGTTGAATCAGACTGGTTTCGCAGAATGCTGGAATTCTGGAGACAATGAATTCGGCGAAGGTCGTTTCAGCATCATGTTGGGTTTTGAACCATAACTCGTTGAGAGAAGCTATCCAGGTAGTCGAGAAAGTGACACATAATGGGAAAAGGTCTAGCCGAGTACGGA